TAGATCGCTAGTAATCAGGGATTAGCGCTGACATAAGGAAGCAAAGCCCTGTCTCATGAGGACCGCCTTCATACAAAGGGAAGAACAAGACGTGGTACATCATTAAATTGGAGAAGATCAGCAGGAAATTTAGAGGCAATACTGGTAACTAGTCCTTTTGCCCTCTGCTTTCCATTTTTGGGCACTGTTTCAGCAGTAGTGGTCCTGCCATTTACTATGTGCAGTAATTGCCAATTTTTTTATCTATTCTGCTACATTTTTTTTAAATGTCCCCTGCTCTTTCAAATGGGTGCACTGCTTCTCCTAACATCTGGTTGGAGCGCATGCGCACAATTACTCCCAGATGCACTGACCACAGGATTATATGTGCCATGAGTACTTGTGCACACATATTGTACAGTGCATGTGTATGGTAGTTTCATTGACTTCTGCGATTCTGATCCAAATCACTGACAACAAAAAAAGTCAGTAAAAGTCTGGTTAGTGGAAGGAGGACGTTGGGGGCACACGTCCTCCTCACCAGAAGCCCCTTTTCTGCCTGTGGTTGTCTGCACACAGAGTGGCTTGACGTACATCGGTAGACCCAGGGGGTAACACACACATTGCAGCAGTTATGATGGTGCTTCAAAGGAACCCCACTTGTGCACGTAGCCACCACAAAAACAAAGTCAGGCAAGTGTAGAAATCAGATTGATCCTGAGAAGTTGGCAGCAATATTAATGAGCATATTAGAATACAAATACGTGTGGCTACCTGACAATAAAAGTATACAAGAGAGAAAAGATAAAACGATATCTTATCCAAGATGGGTACAGGCCTCTCTTTACACACAGAGGATAGGAAGCTTCCTTTTTTATTACATTATGATACTCCAAACCAATTCTTGGACAGCTTCCCCTCCCCAGGTACAGCTGCTGATAAGTTCATTTCTCTAGAAGAACTGGTTACTTTTCACATCTTAAAAGGAACATGTACATTGGCTTAAAGTGATTCTAAAGGTTTCTTGATATTTTTCTTGATTTTTTTTTTTTTTTACATAGCAAACATGTTTATATTTACCTGCTCTCTGCAGTGGTTTTGCACAGAGCAACCTGGATCCTCCTCTTCTCGGGTCCCCCAACGGCGCTCCTGGCCTCTCCCTCCTTTCGGATGCCCCCACAACAAGCAGCTTGCTATGGGGGCACCCACTGCTCTGCGTGTCCATTCACACTGGGAGCTGTGGCTTCGCCCCAGCCCCTCTCTCTTCTCATTGGCTCACTGGCTGTGAGCCAATGAGGAGAGGGAGTCCCAGGACAACCAAGACTCCAGTGCACATAGCTGAATCAAGAGGAGTCTTGGGTAAGTATTAGGGAGGGCTGGGGGGGATGCTGCATAGAGAAGGTTTTTTTACCTTCATGCAGAGAATGCATGAGGTTGAAAAACCTCGAGCCTTTACAACCACTTTCAAAAAACACTGCTCCTATAGGAGTTTATCTTTTTGCCTTTAGAAGCATTTCATGTTATCCTATATGTCCATGCACATTAGGAAGCTTAGAGGCATATTTTAAGCTCAGCATTTAGAGGCAGAACCTTTCTGGTTTGCCTTTTTGAGAGCAGTTTTCTGGCAGAAACAAAAAACACACTAAACGCTCCTAAACACTGCTAAATGCTTTTGCATATTCTCCCTGTGCCTGCGTGGATTTCCTCCGGGTACTCCGGTTTCCTCCCACACTCCAAAGACATGCTGGTAGGTTAATTGGCTCCTCTCTAAATTGGCCCTAGTATATGAATGTGAGTTCGGGAACTTAAATTGTATGCCCCTTGAGGGTTAGGAACTGATGTAAATGTACAATATATATGTAAAAGTGCTACGTAAATTGATGGCGCTATATAAGTACCTGAAATAAATAAATGGTAGTACAAAAATGCTCAAACCTTTTTTTTTCTCCATAACAAACATGGGCATTTTTTTAAGCCAGCGTGCATGGACCTTAAGCATCTAAAAAAGGCATTTCAATTTGGTATTTTAAAGGCCTGTGGCCCTGCTGTTCCTTCTCGGAGTCCTTCAGTGTTTTAAAGTGAGAAAATCCTAAGCCTAACTATTCTAAACCCCCACTACTATCACATTTCCTTCTTAACCTGTACAAACAAGATTATTTCTCTATTTTTCATCTGCTCAGGTCCCGTCACATGATCCTGCAGCTCCGGCTCAGGGAGCACTCGCCAACGGCTGGGAATTTGAAGTAGCTGTGACATCACCCATAGGCTACCATGGCCCAGCCATTGTCAGTGTTCCTTCCTCTCCCCTGCAGCAACCGCTCACTGACACAAGGGAGCTGGAGCTGCATGATCACATGAGCGTAATGGAGTGAATTAAAAATTGGCAAGTACAAACATCATTTCATACTGGTTAGGCAGGATTGGTAGGATGAGTGGGGAGGGAATATTGTAAGTTGCACTTTTTACCATTCTGGTAAGTTCTAAAGTGCCATGATCCTGTTCTGGAAATAAGTAGGTGAGGCTCTCAGCAGACATAATGACGTCCCCTTAAAATCTATGTATAGCCAAAACGTGTTGGTTATGGATAGTATAGGGAATGATTAAGACCCCTGATGGTTTGTCTTTTGCTGTCTGTATACCCATGTGGAACTTTTCCTAAATTTTCTGCACCAGAGATGCAACAAGAAATTAGAGGAAATCTTTGAAAGTGAAGGGAATTTCTCTCTTAAACAGCTGTCCTAATAACAAGGGTCTCCATTGGAAGGTTTTACCTTCCTTTTTTTCTGGGGACAACTCTTAAGTTTCGGATTTCCCCTTACTTTCTAAGTGACAATAGACCTCAGTATGAATAGAGGGGTGAATTGCCCCAGCGATGGCACAGACAGCAATAAAACCTTGACAGAGGATCTAGCCTATACCTACTCTATTCAACACTGGAAAAAAGGGTTTTGTGTAGACATACACTTTAATAATTTAGTCTTATTAATTCAATCCACTCTTTCGTGAGAATTTGACAGGTCTGGTGTAACACTTAATCTTGTTACAGCTCTCTAAAGTAATTTATTTGTTGTATTCTAGACTACACTCCTTTCCTGCAAGCCAACTTCACCTTTTTCACACCCATGTGATGAGTCAAGGTGTAGATCAGGATACTATGAAGCCCGTCCCATGATGGCAAGGCAAGTTGAGGATTGTGAGTTCATGTGAGGAGAAAAAAACAACTTTACACCCATGTCATAATCAATGCAGAACCAGACCATGAAGGAGGTTACACATCAAAATTCTTTCTGCTTGGATACAGCTATAAATAGGTTAATCATAGATTATAAAAAAAAAGTTTTTTTAAGTCCCATTTCCTCTTTGTTCTGTGGTATGCATAAAAGCAACAGGAGGTCTTATAAAGCCACTTACATTAAAAGGGCCATTAACAATGAATATTTCTATTCATCTGTCTGGACTCCTATGGATTGGTTTTAAGACACAAGAAAAGCAATAAGAACATTCCTAAAAAATACATTTTATATTAAAATTTGCCAAGTAGAGGCCAGCTCACAAAACAGATATTTAGTATTTAAACACAACAAGGTCAAGTCAGTATTAAACGTAACAGTGCCCAATAGGGCTGATTTTCCACTTTTAATTATTCTAAATGGCATGGCACAGCATATCTTCCAAAAATGATTTTACATGCTACCTTTTATCAGAGATCAGTCAGATATTGGTCTCAAACACAATGCAGATGCATTTTCGCAAGTTTGCAGGTTTTGGCCTAAAAGAGACCTAAAGCCAAACTTTTTTTTTTCTATTTTGTATAGAGTAAAGGAGGGTAATAACTCCTGTCAGTTTTTTTCCCCCATCAGGAAAATTCCCCCATTGGGGAGATGTCCCTTGACTCTCTGTCTCATAGCCACAACAGGAAAAGAGAGAAAATCCCTCAAAAGTGAGGGAATACCTTGTTGTCAACAGTACAAGTGTCCCCATTGGAGGATTTCCCCTCTATTACTGTTCTTGGCACAACCTAGAATTTGGAATTTTTCTTTCACTTTTGGTAATGATGGTAAACAGGATAAATGAAGAGGGTGAATCTCCCTAACAGGGACACAGACAACAAAAAAACCTGACAGGTGTTCTAATCCCTCTCCCCCGTATCCAAAACTAAAAAAAATTGCCTTTAAACTTTAAAGCGAATATTCACCCCCTAGAATGCAGTGGGTATTGTTGCTCTCCTCCCTCCTCCACAGTTTAAAATGGAAGGTTTTTTTTCCTTGATTTGTTTAGTTTTTAAATGTTTTTTGCCTCCCAGCGGTTATTTCTTTCTTCTAGGCAAGATTGATGTCTGTACCAATCTGAAGCCTCCTGGTATATGTACAACACATATCCCAGAATGCTTCACTTTCCATTCGGGGTTGCCAGAGAACAGTGGGGCTCCCAGAGAACAGTGGGGCTGCCATGCGTCATCAGGGAGCTGAGCTGCCTAAACCAGGAATAGGTACCTAGTGACATTAGGAACAAAGATGGTGACAAGGCATGTGGCAGTGGTACAGCAGATCACTGAATGAAAACATTGGATCTACTAGGGCAGGTGAATATGTGACAATCCTGAATAACAGGCAAGAGGGGCAATGAAGTTCCTCTTCACACAGACCGTATGCAAGTATGTGGCTGCTCAGTGGGCAGGCCTAATGCCATGTGGCTGCATATATGTGGCGCTGTGTAAACAACTGGCCATGCTGAAAGCATGCATGCTCCTAGCACAGTAGCCAGTGGGGATTGGTGTGCTCCCAATGCATACTTGTGATCAGATGCTTTCCATTCATGTGACTGCTCTGACAGCCAATCACAGTGGTCACATGACCCAAATGCCCACCTCTACCTTCTGGGGGGGAGTCAGAGTAAAGGGGTTAATTTTCTAGACCAGATGTTTGCTCAGACCAAAGGTTCCCATGGTTTTCATTTGGAATGGACTCACTACACTGCTCTACTTACAAGAAGAATTAAAACAATAACAGGAAAACAATTACCATCTCTTCTACTAGATTCATCATCAATTTGGTTCAGTTCCATATTGTCTCTTTCAAGCCGAGGTTGATGTGGTCTGTTCTTTGTTGTTGCTGGCCACAGAGCTACCAATACAAATGTTAAACAATTAGCATTTCCTACTTTACTTGGTTATTGCTCTTACAAGTCCATGTGTCATTGGATTTAAATAGTAGAATTTTGTAAGGTTTAGTTAATGTGATTTCACCTTTGCCACTATAATCACACATATCTGTTTGGATTTCTAAACTGTAAGATTTCAACATCCTTTTTTTAATACATTCTTTATAAATTAATGGAAAATACAAAAAATATGGTACACATGATCAGTTAAAATACATAATAGAAAAGCAGGGTGAATCATAATGAGAACCATGGCACAATGGCAATGGGGAATGATTTACAAGAGTCTTGGAAATTCCCTGGTTAGCAACTATAAAATATATTTATAAGACAAAAAGACAAATAGAGATATTGATAAAGACTAGAAGGGAAAGAAAATTGAGGAAAGAAAATTGAGGAAAGAAAATAAGGGGAGGAGAGGAAAAAATAAATCTGTAGATGAGGGAGGTGGGAAGAGAGTGAAATGAGAACCCATCAAAACCCCAATAACTTCAATATAAATTCACATTTACTTTAAAAGGTACTCAGATAATCTACTGTATCTATGCTAGCTTCAGGGGTGGACTGACAACTCATGGGGCCCTCTGGCAATAGGGGATCATGGGGCCCCTGTGTCCTTGCCCAAACTCAAAAAAGCCTATGAAAAAGGTACCAGGGGCATATCAGGGGGGCCCCCTACCGACCCCGGGCCCTCAGGCAGTGCCCGAGTTTCCAAATGGTCAGTCCGCCCCTGGCTAGCTTTGTATAGTATAAGATAAGGCAGGGGTCAGCAACCTTTTCCACAGCAAATTCCATTTCCACAAATATTGGACAGCCAATGTGCCGATAAACAAAAGTGCCGTAGCCTTAGGTAGTTTTCCATTTTTGCACTCATAGCTGTACAGCTAATTTTAAGTTATACTCTATTATTCTACAAAACCCTACAGTATCATGTAAACATCTCAGATCAGCCATAATGTTTGTAATTCCAGACCTCAGATAAGCCCCAATTCCTGCTCCTCCAGACTTTGGATCTGCTCCAATGCATGTATGTACTTCACACTTCAGATCATTCCCTACTTCTGCACCTCTAGTAGTTGGATCAGCCTCAATGCATGAACCTCAGAACTCAGATTTCCTACTAAATCCAGTTTTTGTTCCTCCAGACCTCAGATCAGCCCCAATGCATGTACTTCAGATTAGCTTGAGTTTCTGCTCCTCCAGACCTCAGATCAGCCCCATTGCATGCACTTCAGACTTCAATATCAGACCTCAGATTAGCCTCAAAGCAAGCATGCACTTCAAACCTCAGATCAGCCCCAATAGGCATTGCATTTAACATTGCCTAGAGGTTGGTTGTTTGTTACACAAAGCCTCCATTCTCATAAGATGTATTTTATAGGATTCTATCTAGTTTGAAACATTAAGCTCTGAACCTGGCTATTACATTATTCTTATGCTGACCTTTTATTTATTTTTAGGGCTGAAATGCAGCTTCAGATCAGAGAATGCAGGAGGATCTTGTAAAAGGAAAGTGACCAAAATGACTGATATCAGAAAGCTGTTATACATCACCAGTTTAAAGTACCAAAAATTAAAATGTTCTTTTTTTTTCTCTCTTTCTCTCATTCCTTTTTATAAAATAGGATACCACTGTGTGAAGGTATGCTGGCTGGCTGGCAGGCTTCCTGGGCGCAGTACGGCAATGTCCTCAACGGCAGACTGTTTTCACTGATGTCAGGAATGTGGACCAGCTTTTGTAAGTGACAGCCTAAGGAACTGTCATTTACAGCCAATCTCTTTGCATGCCAGCAGAAAGGGCACTTTGTGCCTGCCTTAGTATTCTTGTGGGGGGTTACCAACCCCTGAGGTAAGGTATTTGTGAGTGTGCAAGTGGGTGTGAAAGCCCTGAGCTAAGCAGTGGTTATAAAGGGGCTTTTCTTTGGGACAAATATGATCCCAATGTTATCACCATATTGAGAATGGCATTTATGAAGTGGTTCCAGGGGCCAAAGAGTATATCTATATTTAGTCATCACACACTGGTCAGAAGTGACACTGAAGATCATTTATATCTATCTGCAAATCAACAAAAAGACTGCTACATAAAATTGCATCTAAAGGCAAAAGAGGAGTAAAGAAGGGTTAGAACCCCCGTCAGTTTTTTTTTTTTTTGTAACTTTCTGTGCCCTTATTGGTAAGATTTGTTTACCTTGTGACCATTGTCATCAGGATTAAAAGTGAGTGAAAGTCTAAATGCTCAATTTTCCCAAGAAAAGGAAGTCTTCTAAAGGGGACATTTGTGTCAGTGACAATTGTCGAAGAGAAAATCTCCTCACTATGGAGAGATTTCTTCTCACTTCCTTCTCTGTTTAAGGTACAGTACAGAAAATTAAGTGATGTTATCTCCCCAAAAAAAAAAAACAAACAACAACAGGGGTTTTACATCTTCCCTACTATATCCAAAACCAAAAAAAGCTTTGGCATAAAAGCGTATAGTGTCTAAAACTCTGTAAAACTTTTTAAAGTGCTCAGTTTCTTCCACACCTACAAAGAGTCAAGTTTGAAATGTTAGCCCATTAAACTACCTGGTGGTCCCTAGCCATCTCCCAGAACAAAGTAGCTGTTATATCGGTATCTTGCCAAGAAAAATATCAAATGTGGCACAAAATTTTTAAGGAGGCTGTAGAGAGCACAATTGTGGACGCATTGTTTTGTGAAGAGGCGGTTATAGCAGTGATCCCTAGCAATTTCTTGTAATGTGTCTCCAGTCTACGACTGTCTCCTGTAACATGTCCCCAGTCTTCAACAAATCCTAATGCATGTTTGCAGTCTCCTACTGTCTCCTGTAGCGTGTCTGACCAGGTCTTGTAGCATGCGTCAGGAACATCATGCCAGCTGCATGGCACATGCACCACAGACATTGGCATCAAGTTGAATATTTAAATGGGAGTTCTGCATAGCTTAATTGCTGAATGGTCTTTCAATCTGTATTTCTATGATTCCTGACCCTGAACTTGTTCCTAACCTTGATGCTGACCTGGCCTCAACCTGACCTGCTCTTAAATTATCCCCGCTTATGATTGCTGCTCATCTCCATTATGGACCTCAACCAGTACTTCTGACCAAGATTCTGCTTATCAACTTGGTATTTGCTTCCAGCATATTGCAAACCTCTTTTTGTTTCGGACCTCAATGCTGGCTTTGATTTGATGCTTTGCTACCCACTTGTTACCTACCCAGCTTGTGACCCAACTCTGCTCATATCAGAATTTGGCGTATCCTCAGTGCACTGAGACAGCTTCAATCCTGCAATTCTGCTACCAGTGCTCCCAAGTTCCAGCACTCAGGTATCTGTGCTTTTACATCACCCTTGCAGGCCCTGTCTTTAATTCCAGGGGTGCTTGGAGGGAAATCAAGTAAGAGGCCAATCTCGTCATCTCTGGCTCCTTATGATGATAGCATGCCCATAGTCTCTGACCACATTTACACGATTGTGGTCTCTGACTGCTTTATCATTACATTCACTGAATATTATGAGCGGTGAGGTCAGGGGCCATGCTTCAGGCCACCTATTTCAAGTAAGTTGACCACCAGTGATGTAGAATGTAATGGATTACTACTACTATTAGCAATATCAGAAGAGTGTAGAAACGAAATAGCACAGATCGGGAGTATAAAACTGAAGCGCTGCTAAGCCGGATGTGCTCAGCTACAGATGTGCCAGGAATGTGTGTCCGTGGACTATTTTCATTACATTCAGCGACAGGCGCACTCAGATGTTTACACTATGCATAAACATAAAGGGGAAGGAGAGATAACGGTCTGAACACACATCAAAGCTGCTTTTATCAGCTTTAGCAGACAGCAAAATATATTTTTCAAATTTTAAATGAAACCCCCTGCTATTTTTATCCAAAACACAGGTGTTTACGTGGTATGCCTGTGGGAGGCAGACAAGGAACCAATGGGTACTGCAGGCCAATTTGTTACTTCCAGACACCCCACCATGGATAATCTATTTGCCTCATTACTTAAAGTGTATGTCAGGGCAAAAAAAAAAAAAAAAAAAAAAAAGCATATGCAGTACATCTCTGCAATACATGCATATTTCCCCATGGTTTATCCATTAACACTTTTGCTGCCAGAAATATTTTTGTGGGAGTTTTTTCACACACGTTAAAATACATATTTTAGGTCTGATGATTAGTTTAAAATATATATACACAGGCGTACCTCGGTTTACAAATTTAATGCATTCTGTGGGACTTTTCGTATTGTGAAAAATTCGTAAATCTAAACGTAGTGTCCCATAGGAATGCATTTAAAACCAATTAATCTGTTCCGGAGGTCAGAAAAAAGTTTAAAAAAAGTCTTGATCTGTTCAAAACTCTTTATAAAGGGCACTTTAAAAAGGCATAAAATACTGTACAGGGACATGATTAAAAATTAATTTGTAAATACATCGAAAACCAATGAATCCGTTTGTATTGCGAAAATAATTCATTAATGCATTGAAAACCAATCAATCCGTTACGGAGGTCAGAAAAAATAAAAAAAAGTCTTTTATCTGTTCAAAACTCTTTATAAAGTGCACTTTAAAAGGCATAGTACTGTACAGGGACATGATTTAAAAAAAAAATTGTAAATGCATTGAAAACCAATTAATCTATTCGTATTGTGAAAAAAAAATTGTAAACTGAGGCATTATTTTCAATGGATTTTCATTCATATCCCGAAAATTACATTAACCGAGGCGTTCGCAAACCGAGGTACGCCTGTATTTTCTGAAAGCAGAGACCTTGGAGAATTAATTAGTGTAGTTCAAATTTTTTGTCACACAGTATTAGTGCAACAGTTTATATCAAACTCATATTTTCAGTTAAAAAAAAACAAACTAAAATTAAATTACCAACCATATAGTAATGAGGTTG